GACCTACCAGGCCCACCGCCAGATGCAGGAGGCACAAACATGACCAAGTCAGCCATAGTGGGGGTTGTGGGGTTCACAGGCCTCGGGAACCAGGGGAGTCAGTAGGCTCTTATTGGACAGTGTGGTTACCTGCAGGGCAGGGAGGGACAGCTCGCCTGGGGGTGTCAGGGCACTTCCCAGCTGAGGCCCCCAGGAGTGGGGAAGCCAGTGAGCAAGCACAGGGGAGAATTCCAGCTAAGGGAGCCCAGGCTGGAGTCCCAGAGGGGAGAGAAGGCGTGGAAGCAGCGTGTGCTCGGGGAGAGGCGGGGGCTGAGAGGTGTGGGGAGGCTGTTGGAGTAAGTAAGGGGCATGGCCGGAGCAGGGGCAGAGGGAAAGGAGGTAACATCCCTGAAGACCCTGGGAAGCCTGGTGCTCAGCGTGACCCCAGAGAGAAACAGGCTTGTTGGGTGAGAGGGAGAAAGACGCTTCCCCACATCTCACCGGGTGTCCTCCCGTGGACCCCACAGCTCCCCATCCACACCAGGCACTCACCTCTGCAGCAGCTGCTTCAGGCTTAACACGCTCGAGGGCTCCTGGGAGGCCTCTACCTGCAGCATGTGCTCTATGGCTCTCCGCTTGTAGGTCAGCAAGTTCTCCACTTCCTAAGAGGCACAGTTGGCTGGGTGGGCAGGGATCCAGGCTGCAGACCAGGCCTCCGCCCCTCCCCGCCCTGCCCTCTGCTCTCGAGAGTGCCCTCTGCTCTCGCTGAGCCCCTCTCGGCAAAGACAGTGAAGAGATCAGGTGGGATGATGGGGAGGAAGGGGAATCTCTGTCAACTGTTGAGTGCTTTGCAAAGGCATGAAATTAGGGTCCAGACGCCATGAACCATCGGCATTGGCGATTTCTTCTGGTTCAACAAATGCCATCACTCTCAGTGGCAGAAAGGGACTGGCAGAAAGGGCGCCGTTCTGGGGCTTCCAGGCTCCCCCAGGATGCGTGGCTCACTCTGTGAGGACAGCCTCGGGCCCAACTCCCATCTACCCGCCCCTGAGAATGGAGGACAAGAGGAACAAATGCCCCTCCTGACTCACCCAGGAGGAAGCCCCCGGGGCCACTGCGCTTGTCAATTCAGTGGGTGAAATGCAGAAAGAAGGGAGTGTCTGCTGTCTGCCATCTGTGAACTGGATCCTCACAACAGTCCCTGAGCTAGCTGAGCTCATGCAAGGAACATTTACTGAGCCCTTCCTAGGTGCCAGGGTTAGTTCGGGGAAGTGGTGACAAGAGATGGACATGATTCTTGCCCTTGTGACATCTGTGGTAGTTTTTCTTTTTCTTTTCGGAGATGGAGTTTCACTCTTGTTGCCCAGGCTGGAGTGCAATGGCGCGATCTGGCTCACACAACACTCGCCTCCCGGGTTCAAGTGATTCTCCTGCCTCAGCCTCCCAAGTAGCTGGGATTACAGGCATGCGCCCAGCTAATCTTATCTTTTCAGTAGAGGCGGTTTCTGTGTTGGTCAGGCTGGTCTCAAACTCCTGACCTCAGGTGATCCGCCCGCCTTGGCCTCCCAAAGTGCTGGGATTACAGGCGTTGAGCCACCGCGTCCGGCCAGTCTGTGACCCTTCATGGAAAAAAACCTGGCAGCCCAGGTGTATTCACAACTGAGAGGCTGAGACCCAGCAGAGAAAATGACAAGGATGTCAGGGCTGGCTGAGACGCCCGGCCCAACCTCATTTACAGGTGCGGGAACTAAGGCAAAAGTAATTTGCCAAGGGTCCACCCAGCAGGTAAACCACCAGGCAGGACCCAGATGCAGGGACAGTGCTGGTTATGGGTAGTGAGTAGCCTGGGGGTCAGTACTTGTTCCATCAGTTCACTTTTAGGGTGGTCATGTGTGGTGGTGCAATGTGTACACACTGCAAAGGCATTCGACTGGGCGGTGCACTGCTGCCCAGCTGTGTGCCCTACAACATCCTCCAGCCATGGCTCCTGCCCTCTTCCACCCCTGCCACTGCATGATCAGCCCTGGCATTCTGCAGATCCCAAGCCACACATCAGTTTCAAAGGGTCCCCACACCCCTTCTCCTGACCACTCCTAGGGTATAGCGGCAGAGAGCTGTCCTCTGGTGGAGAGCGGGTCCCTGACTCCCCTTTCCCACCCTCTGCCGCCTCCTCCTGCCTGCTCCCAGTGTCCACCCTTTAAAAGGAGACAGGGCTGAGAGCACCCTGCCCGGGGGTGCACGTCCTCCTAATGACAGCATGCACGAAAGCCCCGCTTCTCACATTGGATTCCAGGAGAAGCAGCGGCGAGTCCAGCAAGATAAGTTTATTCACCATCTCGGGGAAGATACAGGAAAACTGTGAGGACAGCAGAAGGGGAGAATGAATAGGGGGAAGAAGGAAAGGACTCTCCTGCCTTTCCCAGGGGACCCTGGAGTTCCCAGAAACATCTTTTAGGCTCAGGGAGGGTGGTGACCAAGGGGCCAGAGGAGAATGTTCTATCCTATGGTGTGCCTTCCCCCACCACCCCCACATCTGCACCGCACTGAGCTGCAGACCCTGAGTAGCTGGACTCCAGGGTGCTCTGGGACAGGGTAGCAAGCGTGAAAACATTAACTCTACCAGAAGTCTCCACCGTTTACACCCCTTCCTGGCATAGCGGCTATTACTGTGACAGGAGGAGGCACTTCCTATCCCAGGTACCTTCTCCTTCCTCCTCTGTGCTACCATCCCCAGCCCAGCCCGAGGACCCACATTGGCCAGACAAAGCCATCTACTCACCATTCCGCCCACAATGCCACCTGAGACAAAAGAGCCCATTGGTGACATTCCCTCACTCCCTCCCCAGCTGCAAACCCTAAGGCTTCTTCCCACCAATGGCCCGGAGGAGAGGGGGCTCCATATGGGTGGCTGAGGCTCAGTATCTGAGCCCACGATGGCCCCTTCATCGAACCCGACCACTCAAAGACCACATTTCCCTCATCTCTGTGTCCCTTGCAGCAGTTGCCTGAGGTCAGAGGGGTACAGTGGGTCAGTCTCCTGATGCTCTCATCTCTCTCTGCAAACATTAACTCTACCAGAAGTCTCCACCGTTTACACCAACTTCCTGGCATAATGACTATTACTGTGACAGGAGGAGGCACTTCCTATCCCAGGTACCTTCTCCTTCCTCCTCTGTGCTACCATCCCCAGCCCAGCCGAGGGACCCCTGTTGGCCAGACAAAGCCATCTACTCACCATTCCGCCCACAACACCACCTGGGGGACAAAAGAGCCATTGGTGACATTCCCTCACTCCCTCCCCAGCTGCAAACCCTAAAGCTTCTTCCCACCAGTGGTGGAGGGAGAGGGGGGCTCCATATGGGTGGCTGGGGGCTCAGTATCTGGGCCACGATGGCCCCTTCATCAGACCCGACCACTCAAAAGACCACATTTCCCTCATCTCTGTGTCCCTTGCAGCAGTTGCCTGAGGTCAGAGGGTACAGTGGTCAATCTCTGATGCTCTCATCTCTCTTTGCAGATCTCATAAGCGCAGGGGACAGTGGTGGGGCAGCAGTTCCTGTCCTTCCCTCCCAGCCCTACTCCAGGCCCACTTGGCTGCTGGTCAGTGTACTCACCGAAGCTGTGGCCCAGAATGGAGAATCGATTCCATTTCAAGGCTGGAAACGCAAGGAACCAGAAGGTCTGGCTGTGCACAGGCTCAGCCCGCCCTCTCGCTTCTACTCCCCGGGCTCAGGAAATCCCTTCCCAGCATCTGGGGTGTTCACCCAGGAGACCTGCTTGGGAGACCCACAGGAGGAAGCAAACTCTTCAACTTTCCTAAGATCTCCCGTGAATTGCTGGCAGACCTGGGGCCAGAGCCCAGGTCCCACTCCCAGGCCAGCGCATATTCCTGGATCCTACCCCGACTCCAATGATAAGAGGGGGTGTCCCAGAGCAAGCCCGCGCCGAAAAATACACTGCTTCTTACCTGCCACAACTCTTCGGATGTCACTCACAAAAGTCTGGTGGTAATATGGGACACCTGGGCTGTAATGGGACGAGAGCCCATGACCTCCGAAATCCATGGCAACGTAATAAAAGTCTGAAACAGAGAGAAGCAGGTTGGAGGGTAGGAAGAGGTGTCTATGCCAGCTGTCTCCCCGCCCTCCTCACTCCCCTGCAGACCTCCCCCCTCACCTTCTTGCCCACTTTCCCCCTGGACTTCCCTTCAGCCCCAGCCTCACACCTTGCGGGAGAAGAGGGATGAGTCTGTCGAAGGAGTTGGCATTGTCCAGCCAGCCGTGCAGGCAGAGAACTGGAGGGCCCTGCAGGGAGCCCCAGGCTTTGGCTGCGATGTGGCCCCAGGGCACAGCCAGCTTCAGCTCTGAGATCAGACCTGAAAGACAGAGCCGGCTCTTTCATTCCTTCACTCTTGCATCCATGAAGCTGGTGCTCCCTGAGCCCCTTATCTCTGCCTGCTGTGCTTGAGCCAGGAGTCATGTCCAGAGAGACTCAGCTGCCCCCAGAAGGTTATGGGGAGAGAGGGCCACACATGGGTGTGGAGACTCCCAGAGGAGGGAAAGATAAGTTAGGCCGGAAAAACTCGAGGCAGGCCTCACAGCATGCACCCCATTTAAACTGGGGCAGAACCTTCTAGAATGTGCTGGGGTAGGTGCGCTGGTCATGCCCGGACCCTACCAGTTGCAGGCTGGGTGACCTTGGACAAAGTACTAAACTGTCTTGAGACTCAGTTTCCTTTCCTGTAAAACTGGAGTAAACAGAGTAAACAGCCAGTTTCCTTAGCCTTTCCCAAGGGCCAGAGGGGTGCCAAACCCTCACACATGCAGCAGGTGGGACCACTGTCACTCTCACTTCACAGAGCGGGAAACTGAGGCACTGGGAGCTGCAGCCATGCCCAAGGTCACACTGGGCGACAGGGAGGGAGTGGAAATTTAGGGCAGGCGGTGGGACTCCAGGACCCACCACTGCCCCCAGAGCTCGCAGCCTCCGCCGTCCTTGCCGGGCTGGAGACCTGCGCGCCCCCGACACCCACGCGCACGCTCGGCTAACTCAGGGGCTCCTGGAACCCTGTGAGGCCACATGCGACCGTGTCCCGGGGCCCCCACCTCCAGGCCGGTCGCTCTCTCACACCCCGGGACTGCCGAAGAAGGAGCTGCGACACCCAGCAGGGCGACGCGGTCCGCGAACCCTCCACTCCATCCCGCCCTCCTCCACAGTCCCAATCAGGTGGGTGGGCAGCGGGGCGCTCGCGCGAGGCCTCCTGGTCCCACTGGAGTCTAAGGAGACCTGGTGCAGCGTTCTCACCCATCGCTCTTTTCCCGCGAATGCGCGGCCGTCACGCCCTCACACCTGGCTCAGTCGCAGGAGAGCGACGCCCGCACTTCCAGGCGCTGCCTCTAGTCTCTCCCGCTCCGCCCCGCCCCATGCAGGCCACGCCTCCACGCCTCACGCCCCGCCTTCACGCCGCCCTCCCTGCGCCCTGGCCGGCCCCGCTCCTGTGGCCGCCGGCCCCACCCCTAGGCCGCCCCGCCCCGCCCGACCCCGCCCCACCCCACGCAGGCCCTGCAACTCCAACAGTCCCCATCCGCATTCAGAAGGCCCCGCCTTCTCACCACCCTGCCAGAGCCCCCGGGCGGGCCCTGCTTCCACTCCGCCGGCTCCACGCCAGGAAGGCCCCCGCCCCACCCGCCAGGCCCCGCCTTCGCACCACCTTGTCGGCGCCCACCGGCTGGAAGCCAGCAGGGCCCCAATCCCTGGGCAGTCCTGACGGCCGCCCCCACGTCCTTGCGGGACCAGGCCTGGGGAGCAGCCACAGCGAGTTGGACCTCTGAGTGTTCGCTGGCCCGCGATGCAGGGCTGAAGACTACTCCTTGTTTAGTGGCTTACTAGGCCCCCTGACCGACAGCCTGAGACCACCGGGTACCCACCGTGTTCTGGGGTCCTCAGCAGAGCCTGGACAAGCAAGTCTTAATGATTGTTGTATAGGTGAACAAATGAATGTATAAACTGGGGACCTGGAGGAACCCTCCAGCTGAGGGATTATAAACAATATCTGCCTGGAAAGGATCAAAAACCCCAAGTTCAGAAGAGGATGTTTGGGGTGAGCAGATTCATGCACTAAATCCTACCATGAAAGAGGGGAAGTGCACCCTTTGAGTCTGAAACAGTGGCAAGTCTAGGACAAATAAGAACATGTACTGGTAGGGAACCTTTTTTTTTTTTTTGAAACGGAGTCTCGCTCAGTTGCCCAGGCTGGAGTGCAGTGGCGCAATCTCCGCTCACTGTAACCTTCGCCTCCCGGGTTCACGCCATTCTCCTGCCTCAGCCTCCTGAGTAGCTGGGACTACAGGCACATGCCACCCCGCCCGGGCTAATTTTTTGGGGGGTTTTTAGTAGAGACGGGTTTTCACTGTGTTAGACACGATGGTCTCCATCTCCTGACCTCGTGATCCGCCGGACTCGGCCCCCAAAGTGCTGGGATTATAGGCGTGAGCTGCAACACCTGGCCAAGTACTGGTAGTGAATTCTTATAATTTTATGTTGCCTTGGCGTCCATTTTGGTAAGATTTAATTTTTTCCTACAAGCAGCAGGGCTCAGGCACCCTTGGCAGTTTCCAGGCCTATACCACACCCAAATGACTGCAGAGATAAGAAGTTAGAGGTCTGACAGGGTGGGAATAGGCTCAGGCCTGTAATCCAAGGCAAGAAGATCGCTTGAGGCTAGGAGTTTGAGACCAGGGCTGGGCAACATAGTGAGATTCCCCCACGCCACCACCACAACCACTAAAAAATAAAACAACACTTAGAGGCATCTCTAGTGCCTAGCAGACTGCGCTCCTGCTTTCCCCGTGCTTCCTTTAAAAAGAACAGCCAGCAAACTTACTGGCCCCTGACCATTCCCTTCTACCTGTTAGTCACCACGCACTCTTTCTGCCTGACTCTTCACTCCCACCTCCCGTGACCAGGGATGAGGACTTCCCTCCAGTCTCACTACACTTTCCTTGCCCGTGTTCTGTATTAAAAATCTCTGGACTTGTTTGTTGCTGCAGTAGTGGGTTGAATTTGCACTTTCCATCAGAACAACCAGGGGCTGCCCGAGGCCGGGCTCCCGGGGCCAGGCCGATAGGCAGCATAAACTGGACACGGGTCTCACCAGAGCCACAAGGGCTTTTCCCATGTGAGGGATCTCTGGTCATAGGTCAGACACTAGGCATGAGGTTGTCCACTAGTTACAAGAAGTATCCTGTGTAAGGTGCACTGCACGCACCCACGTCTAGCCCCCTACCTTTCTGCTTAGAGCAGGTTGCTGGCTGCTCTGGTAATGGAACCCCAGTTTAGCTGGGGGCTCTCAAAACAGGACTTCCTGTTCCTTCAGTACCATTTGCTAGTTGGAAGCTCTGGGAGTAAATGGGATGTGGTCCCTCGGGCTCCAGTCCGGCAGCGCTCGTGAGTGGGGAGCCACCGTACAGCACGCTGAGGTGGGGAGAGATCTGTGGAGCGAGTTCTCCCTGGACCGGGACAAGGGAGCCGACCCCTGGAGACAGAGAAGACATCGGGCTGCAGAAGTTAAGGGAGCTTCCCGGTGGAGCCGCAATGCAGGGAAGGTTGTCAATGGCTAGAAACAGTGGGCAAGGGCGGGCGATGGACTGGGGCTTGGGGTGGCACGAGGTTACGACGGGCCTTGCATGTGGGGCCGAGGAGCTTGGCCCTTATTCTGAGTGGTGGGGCCCTGGGGAAGCTAGGAGCTGGGAGATGACAGGACTGCTTCTAGAAAGGTCCATGCACGGTACAGTCCATCCGCTCAGTAAACAGTTTGGCTTTCCATGGGCCTGGACCCTTTTACAAGTTATGCAAGGGGTCGAAGATCCTGGGGTGACAGAGGCATTGAGACATGAACCCCTGTGAGGTGGGTTGGTCTCTTTCGTCTTCTGCCCTGAGGACCCATCGGCACCCCCTCTTCACTGATGACACCAAATTTATGCCTGGGCACCAGGCTCCAACCTGACCCCGGGATGGGGACCTGACCTCCAGCATCTTCACCTCAATCTGTTGTGGCTCCACCAGCCCCTTCAACACAGATGCACCCAGTCCCTTCTCTGTCCGGCAGATTCGTGGCCTCAGTCTCCCCACTTCCACCCCCCACCCTCATCTTCACACTCACATCCTGTTATCACACCTCGACCTTTCCCCACCTGCCTCTCTTCACTTCCATTCCTGTGACCCTCCCCTCCTCCCACCTCCTGAGCTGGCTTTTCATCACCCCAAGAAGACAAGAGAAATCACTTCGCGCCATGCCACCAGCTCCCCGCTGGAGCTCAGCTGGAACTCCGATCTTACTTCCCCGTGTGGGAGTCTCCGGTGCTTCTCACCGCCTGCTGGAGGGAGGTGGATTCCTGCCCCGGCATGGAAAGCCTTCTCTGGGGCCCGCTCTCCTTTATACCACATTCAACTCCAGGAATGTTGGGATGCCCATTCTATGCACCTGCCCCCAATTTTCACACTCCTGTATCCTTGCTGATGCTGTTCCTTCAGCTCAGAACACGGTTCCCCTTTGCCTTTACCACTGAAATCATACCCTTCTTGTAAGGCATGGTTCAGAATCACCTGCTCCAGGAGGCGCTCTACGATCCACCCAGGTGAAACGCATCTCCCCATCTCCATTACTGCTGCTGCCACCTGCCTCTCATCCCTATCTGGTATGGCAGTCCATTGGGTCTGGCTGCCTCTCTGGCTGGATGTCTGCCTTAAAAAGTGGAAAAAGGGCTGGGCGCGGTGGCTCAATCCTGTAATCCCAGCACTTTGGGAGGCCGAGACGGGTGGATCACGAGGTCAGGAGATCGAGACCATCCTGGCTAGCACAGTGAAACCCTGTCTCTACTAAAAAAAAATACAAAAAAACTAGCTGGGTGAGGTGGTAGGCGCCTGTAGTCCCAGCTACTCGGGAGGCTGAGCCAGGAGAATGGCGTGAACCCGGGAGACGGAGCTTGCAGTGAGCTTTTTGGTGAGACGGTCATTTACTCTTGTTGCCCAGGCTTGAGTGCAATGGCGCGATCTCGGCTCACCGCATCCTCTGCCTCCCAGGTTCAAGCGATTCTCCTGCCCTGGCCTCCCGAGTAGCTGCGATTACAGATATGTGCCACCATGCCCAGCTAATTTTTATTTTTAGTAGAGACAGGGTTTCACCGTGAAGAACATTAGATTTAAAGATAAACAAATATGGGGGGCTAGCAAATATGTGTACACTCAAATGTACAGTCATTTTTTTTTGAGACATAGTCTCGCTGTGTCACCCCGGTTGGAGTGCAGTGGGGAGATCTTGGCTCACTGCAAGCTCCACCTTCCGGGTTCCAATGATTTTCCTGCCTCAGCCTCCTGAGTAGCTGGGAGTACAGGCACCCTCCACCACACCCGGCTGTTTGTATTTTTAGTGGAGATGGGGTTTCGCCTTATTGGCCAGGCTGGTGTCAAACTCCTGACCTCAGGTGATCCCCCTGCCTCAGCCTCCCAAATTGCTGGGATTACAGATGTGAGCCACCGCCCCTGGCCAAATGTACAGTCATTAATGAGAGTGTTAATGAGCATGTATTGCTTTGCTTTACTTTTTTTTTTGGTACAGGTTCTTGCTCTGTCACCCAGGCTGGAGAGCAGTGGCATAATCGTTGCTCACTGTAGCCTTGAATACCTGGGTTCAAGGGATCCTCACTTCAATCTCACAAGTAGTTAGGGCTATAAGAATGGATCGCGATGCCCAGCTAATCTTTAAACAGTTTTTTTTTTGTTTTTTTTTTTTTTAGACAGGGGGTCTGACTATATTGCCCAGGCTGGTCTCCAACTCCTGGCTTCAAGCAGTCCTCCTGCCTCACCCTTCCAAAGCTCTGTACTTATAGGCATGACTCACTGTGCCTGTCCTACTTTAATTAAAAAAAGAAATTTTATTTCCTAATCATGTATTTATCTAAAACATTTTTATATTCATTTTTCTTCTTTCCTTCCTTCCTTCCTTCCTCCCTTCCTTCCTTTCCCCTCTCTCTCTCTCTCTCTCTCTCGCTTTCCTTTTTTGAGACAGAGTCTCTCTCTGTCAGTCAGGCTGGAGTGCAGTGGTGCAATCTCAGCTCACTGCAACCTCTGCCTCCTGAGCTCAAGCAATTCTCCCGCCTCAGCCTTCCAAGGAGCTGGGATTACAGGCATTTGCCACCATGCCCGGCTAATTTTTGTATTTTTAGTAGAGATGGGGCTTCACCATGTTGGTCAGGCTGGTCTATGAACTCCTGACCTCAAGTGATTCGCCTGCTTTGGCCTCCCATAGTACTGGGATTACAGGTGTGAACCACTGGGCCTGGCCAGTTTTTTTTCTTTTTAGAGAAAAGGTCTTGCTCTGTCACCCAGCCTGAAGTGCCGTGGCACAGTCACAGTTCACTG